CGGCTTTAGTTATAAATAATTAAAGAGTCGACAACTCTATGATATGGTTAATGCAATTGTTTGTCAAATAAGTTATTTGAATATAAAATAAAAGTATTTAATGTAGATTATTAGTCAAAAATAGATTATTGTTTATAACAACAAATAAAATGATTCCTAAATTACAAATTATTTAATAATAGTAAATATAAATACAAAAAAGATGTCATAATTTGTTTTGTAATATTTTAAATAAATCAATACTTATATATAGAAGCATTGTTTTAGCATTTTATGCACATTTCAACTAAAAATAAAACCAATTCTTAAAGTATTCTTTTAAGACTAATGTTTTAAAAATTTGATTTGTTGTAAAATTTATTGATTTTTATTTTAATTATTAATTTAATATATATCTCACAGAATTGATATACTATACACATGTATGATATCAATTGTTGAGATAGATTCATTTAGTAATAATTATTATATCACTTCTAATAAAACAATGGCTCAAAATACAGGATGTGTTCAAGAGTTGGGACCATTCGGTATGGAATCACTAGTCGAAGATGTGACCACATTCTCCTGATCGTCACTCGAGTTCTTTGCAAAATGCGATTCTTCTAATGAATTGACAGCACCGGCAGAATCGGCGCTCGAACTCGAGCCCACTTGTGATGCCAGCAATGCTTCATCGCTTGTCGTGCTCTCAGGAAAGTCTGTAATTTGTTTTAGATTTAAAATCAATTCGCATTCAATAATAAGCAAAAATACCAGTCGTTGGGATCTGAGCTTCAGATGAAGATAAGGAAGTCGGAGGAGTAGTGACGCTATTGCTAACGGATCTGTTCATTGCAGACGCGCTGAAATCAATTGTGGGAAAACTGCTGAAATCAGCCCAAGAGTCGGGTTCTATGGGTGATATTGCCGAAGAGGTGGTGGTATTTGTTTCCATTTTAGTTGCATTCAAGTTCTCCCACGGGTTCGATGTTTCCATAGGTATGGGAGCCATTGGTCCAGAATTGTGAGACGACCATGCTACAAAACAATTCAATCGGTTATGTTATGCGCTATCATTGTTACACACATTCATTAACAAATATTATAATTGTCAGATACTATCTAGCAATTAGTCATTAGAATCCTTTTAAATGGTTTATGATATCATCACTAAAACAACTCTTATTTCAATTTATTATGTAATGTAAAACTTACGGTCGTTTTGGTCGACATCCATAGAATTCATGAGTTTATTCATTTGATTTGTGGAAGAATTAAATGTATGGAACGTTTGGTCGGATGAGAAGACCGACGACTCGACCGTTAACTTATGCTCCGAATTAATGGTCTGCGCGAAAGGCATTTCCCTGTCTTCCCAAAGGTCTTCGTCGTCACTGCTATTACTATCCAGACTTGTCTTCGCTCTTTCAGTACATAGTTTCTCAAACTCTAAACTATTGTCCTTTTGTTGCTTTAAATGTAACCAAAAATGTGTTTAAAACAACTACAACTAAATCATTTTAAATCTATGTTTTAAGTTAATTATTTACCAATTGGTTCTCAAAGTTGAAGTTAATTCTTGAGAGCGAATCTATTTGAGAGCTTTTGTATATAAAACAAAATTCATATTAGGATACAATAGATAAGCAATAATTCAAAATAATTACGGAATGCTTTCGTTAACTTCAGTGAATTCGTTGGCCGCGAATGCTATTTGTGTGCAAAGATTTCGTGTCATTTGTTGCATTTGGTATTCAATGAATGCCTAAATAAGAAACCAACGCTTTAGAGACAGTTTTCGGCCATAATTTAGTGACCAATACCTGTTGAAGAGTGCTTTCCTGTTGTCGGAGAGACTCTTCATCCATAGCCACAGAATTTGGCATTTCGTTTACGAGAGGAGTCGATAGAGTTTTGTTGATTTTTGCTAATATTTGTTCGACAAATGTTTGCCATTTTTCAAGCGTTTCAGGAGTTAAAAGTTGTTTTAATATATCTTTACTGCATTTACTGTCAATTA